CCAAACACGGGGTTCCTCAGCCTTCAACACGCCTGGCTGCCAGGAGGAGACCCGTGAGGACTTAGTGAACAAGCTGAAGGCAGGTGCTTTCGCCTGCGTTCATCTCCGGTTCGTTCTTGGCGAGTGATAGATGAACTGAATTCCTACCCTAGGTCCCCCAGTAGTGCCCTTTTCCTTTTACCCTTTTTTGGGGAGGGTTCCCCTACTAAAATAGACCACAGAAAAAAGGGCACCCTTATTGGACCTAGCTATCCAAACGGGCCTCACACGTACAGTTTCTCACAAGTCTTGGAGGTTGGTGGAGTTCCCAGGTGGTTCCAGCCAGTTTCTTCTCAATTTCTCGGTTTGTTGGTGGCAAGACACCAGCTTGGTTTTTGGGCAATCCACTCAAGTGAGATCCAGGCACAGGCGCCGAGAATGCTTGCGGTTCGCCCCGCGAAGCTGGGGCTGACCTGTCTTTGGAACGTGCAGGGCACCCAACCAGCAGAGGTGGGGATATGTTGCCATTTGGCTGTGGCGAATTCAAAAAACCGGAAAGTTCCAAAATGGCGCAAGCCCTGGTAAGTGGAAACATCGTTGCCAAAACCTGCGGTTTGCCCCCTCCTGGTTAATTTTGAGAACCACACCCATTTGGCCCCGCGATTCTGGACCCATGCAGAACCCGGGAGGGTTCCCTGAGGCCCCCGCAAGATCACAGGAGAATCCGCCTGATCATCACGACAGGTTTGGATTTCCGCCGTCTGGATTTTGTTTACCATGTTTTTTTTGGGTAGATCACTTCCACACTGTGCTTTGGAGGCGCAAAAGGGAACGACGGATCCGTTTCACACGGGTGCCCAAGACTCTGGGTGGCTTCCCAATGAACCAGAAAGGGTTGCCAAACCCGCCACGCGAACGGGGAACACCCGCAAAGTAATCGGCGGACGTTCTTGCTTTCCATCAAGCAGCTTCTGAAAAGTCGCCGGCTCGAAGAGGATGGGAGTCCTCCAAAACAGTCCGATCGACGTAGACGACCATGATTGTTGGAAGAGAGAGCGTACTCTGCAGTTTGTTTGTTTGTCTGTCTTGTTTGTTTCTTTCTATGTTAGTTCATTCGTTCGTTTGTTTCTGGTAGTACCCACTTACTAAGTTCACCGCCCCTGTTTGCCAGCTAGCGGCTAGCTTGTTTGTTTGTCTGCCTGCCTGTCGGTCTATCTGTCTGTCCTGTTCTGTCTTTTGTTTCGAGCTCCTAGCGCTTTCAGGTGGCGCGCAAGGCCTTGCTCTGGGAGCGCGCGACGAAGCAGCGCTTGCGCAGTCAGTTGGACATGGCGGAGGCATGGGCTCCCAGTCGGGCCACCTCCCGGGGGGATGGGGGGTGGGGGGTGGGGGTGGGGGTGGCTTGGGGGGCTGGTGGGTGAGTGGTGGGTGGTTTTGGTCTGGGTTGGTCTGGGTCGGTCATTGTTTTTTGGTTTGATTGGATGTTAGTATGTTTAATGTTTGTTTGTTCTTTTTGGTTGGTTGGTTGGTTGGTTGGTTGGTTGGTTGGTTGGTTGGTTGGTTGGTTGGTTGGTTGGTTGGTTGGTTGGTTGGTTGGTTGGTTTGGGTCTGAGGTGTTGAGAAATGGGTGTGGCTCAAAATTCAACAACTGGGGTTACGCAGGATTTAGTCTTTGGTTCCATTTGCCAAGGTGCCATGTTGGTACATGTTTTTACCCACAGCCATTCAATCAATCCGCGAAGATCGTCTTCTACGAACTATATTGAGCCACAGCCACGAAGAGGTGTGGCCGCCTTGATCTTTACACTGATCTGAACGGCGCACCTTGACCCGGATCATAGAAAGCAGCCACCATAGAAAGTTTGCGATTCCCGCCTTCATACAGCTTGAAAGTTCCAATGTCGAGCATGGCATATCATAGAGTTTTTCCAAGGGCAACGTCTCCCATTCTGCCATAGCCGCGCTGCCAGATCTACCCGCATCTGGCTGCTGGAGAATATGAGTTCAAATCAGTTCGGAGCACTCGCGCAAATTCTCAATTCTCATGGGATGGTCTTGTTGGAGCGATATCACTTGGTGGCTCCCAGTCATCCCCTTAGCTTTTTAGCTTTTTGGTGTTTAGTGGGGTTTTCCATTTGGCCCACTAAAAGTTAAGCTTTTAGCGGGGGATCTGAGGACAGGTCAGATCAGTCTGAGATCTTGTGCAGCATTTTGGCTCGCGAGCTCTCGTCCCTAACTCCAGTCGCGCACTCCTTCGACTTCTTGGACAAGATGGCGGTGATGAAGAAGCTCATTTCCCGCAACACCAAGGGCCAGTACCGCAAGATCGACTATGGCCGCGTCAAGACCATCAAGGGGAAGAAGTGCCTGGTCTGAATTCGCAGGGGGGAGTCTTCTCACTTTCTGTGTTCCTGTTCTTTGTCCTTTCTGGGAAGACAGTTTTAGTGGTAAATTCAAAGGTTTGGACTTTGTTTTATCAATCCACTCAGGAAGTGAGTCTCAGTTAAGCTTTTAATCAACATTTGGTCTATATCCCAAAGACTTCGCCTCAGCTTCCCTTTTGACCTGACCTTACATGAGCCAACCTTGAAGCCTCACCTTTGTGTTTCCAGTTCTTGTTATGCCAGATCCCACACAGCTAACCCTTTACTGCTGTGTGCTTTGGCCTATTTCGAGGTTCCAAAGACCCGAGTCTTTGGGAGCCGCCTTTGGAAGTGTTCCCTCCAGAAGCCTACGGCCCTTCCCCCTGACCTGTGGAACAACCCCTAAGAGAGGGGTGAAGTGCCAGAAGTTCAGGGGATCTCGTCTTTTGGTCCCATGATTCAACCATCCAAACCGGCTGGAAGCTTGAGAAATCAACTCGCTCTATAAGTTCCTGGACATGAGTCACTTTTTGGTTTGGGCCATGTTAGTGGTAAACATGAGCTTGTCTCTTTGTTTGGGCCAATCCACTCAGGAAGTGAGTCAACTTGCATTCAAGCCAAGTTTCGAGAGAGACGAAGGAAGGAAGGCGCCAAACGTGTTTCAATCGGCGAGCAACGCGAACCGACTGGATGCGATCTTTGGTTTTCCTGCCTGGAGTTTCCTTCTGAGTCAAGGCAATCCAAAAGGCGATGGCTTTTATGTGATCATCACACTCTACAGACAGACATGTGAAGATCGCCACTGAAGTTGGAGCTTGAGTTGTGACCAGCTCGAAATGGTTGAGTCCTAGCACTTTGGGAAGTTTGAAGATGATGCAGTCCGTAGACTCAGTTTGCCGCAGCTTCAGTCATGCTTGCCCAATCTACTCCGAGCTGGGGGTACAACGAGGGTACGAGCACCTTTCTCGGGATTCCCTTCTTCCAGATGCGGCGTAGTTTCACATTTGGGTGTGGCTCAATTTTTTTAGAGCTGTTAAGCAGGTGTTGGTCTTTGTTTCCATTTTCCTCCACTTACCTGATGGCCATGATGGGTGCATGTTTTTGAGCCACAGCCATTTGTACCCGGGCAAAAACCAGAGGCCCCTTCCCATTCCCCGTGGAATATTCTTAAGCAAGGGTTCAGCTTGCAGCATTTTTGCGGGGGCTCTGTATTTCCCTTGGGCCAGTTTAACATCACTTGGACCAACTGTAGCTTGGCTCCCAGCCATCCGGTTCCTTAGCCTTTTAGCTTTTTAGTGTTTAGTTGTAGTTTCCATTTAGTCCACTAAAAGTTGAACTTTTTGTGGGGGATCTGAGGGCAGCCCAGGTAGATGAGTTTCCTGTAGGGGTGATATTTAGGGGACATGTATCGGGAACCCTTCTTGTTTGGCTCACGAGCCTGCAGATTCAGATTCCTTTCCGGGATCCGACGGAGAACCCACAGCCGTTACACCAGAGCCCTTAGGTCGTGGACTTTTTCGTTGGGACCTCGGCTTTGGCTGTAAAAAGGGAACCAGAAGGGAACCAACCAGTTTTGGGGGGATGGGGTTTTGGGGGTTGGGGGGGTTTGGGGTTTCCCTGATATTGAGACAAACCCTAAACCAACTCCTGTTCCAAGGCCACACAAAAAGTTAAAACTAGTACAACAACCCCAAAAATCAAAGAGCGTCGCTTTCCATTTTTGAACACTTTATCAAAACACAGAAACCTGCAAACACATGCAAACACGCAAACAAACATGGCACCCTGAAAGGACATGAACAAGCGCAACAGGGTAATGTCCAACAACAAAGAAACACACTCCCATGTGTGTTTAGCCGCTCTTTTGTGGCTCAGGTATGACCGCACCATCCTCAAGGCTGCGGACATTGCGGTCAAGGGCGCCGGCGATGGGCGAATCGCGGAGAAGGACGTGCGGAGGTTCGATAGTTTAGCTTGTCACTCCCTTCTTGGATGTCTTGGATTTTCAACCAATGTCAGGCAAGTAGGTTATAAGCCGGGTAAGGGGACCAACCCCAGTTACCCTAGTCATAACCACAATTATAACTTTCTTATACCAAGTTGGGACATCCAAGTTTGCTTGAACTCAGGGGGTGTCAGGTGGTTCTATTCCCTATTCCGTGGGGCATTCCCTTGGCCGCGGTGGCTGGACTGAGCGGGGGCTTCAACCCAAAAGAGGGCAGGGGGTTGCAACCCTGACTGCTCAAACCAACAACTTGAGCCTATCCAGCACCTTAGAGCTATCAAGTGGTACCCTAAGTGACCGGATATGGGGCAAAAAGTTGGGCAGTTCGTTCGACCTAAAACAACGCGCTCCAACTGAGGCATTCTGTTGGGCGAATCAAACCATCCTCCAACCCCGGATTCAGAGGCAAGCTTGCGGACTGTGCCTGTTCCATACCTTGACTTCACGAGAATCGACGGACCTTGCGACCTCGTGGCTTTTGGTCAGTGTGAAGCCACCAATGTGACAGCCTGTCGCCAACCAGATGATTTTTTGAGAACCCTTCAAAATGCCACCACTCTACATGGCTGGTCTTTGGTGTGACCTTACCAAGCCCATTTCGGAGAAAGCCACGGTGTTTCAAGTTGAAACCCCCAAGACTAGCAACGACCTTTTGCTCGCTCGGCGCCCGCTCGGCGCCCGCCTGGCGGCAGCCCGCGCTTCGCCATGGCGTCGCCGGCCAAGCGCCCGCGGACAAACTCGGCGCCCCAAGCGGCGCTGGAGGCGGTGGCGGCGCAGTTTGGCCTCACGGCGGCGGCGGCGGCGGTGAGCGATGGGGCGGATGCGGGCGTCGGTGAGGCGGGAGATCAGAACTCGCAAATGATAGCAGGGGCTAAACATTAGAGGTATTTTATTGTTGGTACTCTGCTGTTGCTACTCTACTGTTGCTACTCTACTTTTGCTACTTTCATGTTGGTGCTCTACTGTTGCTACTCACTGTTGCTACTGTACTGTTGGCATTCTACCGCTGCTACTGTTGTTACTCTACTGTTGCTACTCTACTGTTGTTACTCTGCTGTTGCTACTCTACTGTTGTTACTCTACTGTTGTTACTCTGCTGTTGCTACTCTGCTGTTGTTACTCTACTGTTGCTACTCTACTGTTGGTACTCTACTGTTGCTACTCTACTGTTGCTACTCTACTGTTGTTACTCTGCTGTTGCTACTCTACTGTTGGTACTCTACTGTTGCTACTCTACTGTTGCTACTCTACTGTTGTTACTCTTGTTGCTACTCTGCTGTTGTTACTCTACTGTTGCTACTCTACTGTTGCTACTCTACTGTTGCTACTCTACTGTTGGTACTCTACTGTTGTTACTCTGCTGTTGCTACTCTGCTGTTGTTACTCTACTGTTGCTACTCTACTGTTGGTACTCTACTGTTGCTACTCTACTGTTGCTACTCTACTGTTGTTACTCTGCTGTTGCTACTCTACTGTTGTTACTCTACTGTTGTTACTCTACTGTTGCTACTCTACTGTTGGTACTCTACTGTTGCTACTCTACTGTTGTTACTCTGCTGTTGCTACTCTACTGTTGCTACTCTACTGTTGTTACTCTACTGTTGCTACTCTACTGTTGGTACTCTACTGTTGCTACTCTACTGTTGCTACTCTACTGTTGTTACTCTGCTGTTGCTACTCTACTGTTGTTACTCTACTGTTGTTACTCTACTGTTGCTACTCTACTGTTGGTACTCTACTGTTGCTACTCTACTGTTGTTACTCTGCTGTTGCTACTCTACTGTTGCTACTCTACTGTTGTTACTCTACTGTTGCTACTCTACTACTCTACTGTTGCTACTCTACTGTTGTACTCTACTGTTGTTACTCTGCTGTTGCTACTCTGCTGTTGTTACTCTACTGTTGCTACTCTACTGTTGCTACTCTACTGTTGCTACTCTACTGTTGCTACTCTGCTGTTGTTACTCTACTGTTGCTTTCTCTACTGTTGCTACTCCTGTTGCCTCTCTACTGTTGGTACTCTACTGTTGTTACTCTGCTGTTGCTACTCTACTGTTGTTACTCTACTGTTGCTACTCTACTGTTGGTACTCTACTGTTGCTACTCTGTTGCTACTCTACTGTTGTTACTCTGCTGTTGCTACTCTACTGTTGCTACTCTACTGTTGCTACTCTACTGTTGCTACTCTACTGTTGGTACTCTACTGTTGTTACTCTGCTGTTGCTACTCTGCTGTTGTTACTCTACTGTTGCTACTCTACTGTTGCTACTCTACTGTTGCTACTCTACTGTTGGTACTCTACTGTTGTTACTCTGCTGTTGCTACTCTACTGTTGTTACTCTACTGTTGCTACTCTACTGTTGGTACTCTACTGTTGCTACTCTACTGTTGCTACTCTACTGTTGTTACTCTGCTGTTGCTACTCTACTGTTGCTACTCTACTGTTGCTACTCTACTGTTGCTACTCTACTGTTGGTACTCTACTGTTGTTACTCTGCTGTTGCTACTCTGCTGTTGTTACTCTACTGTTGCTACTCTACTGTTGCTACTCTACTGTTGCTACTCTACTGTTGGTACTCTACTGTTGTTACTCTGCTGTTGTTACTCTACTGTTGCTACTGTACTGTTGCTACTCTACTGTTGCTACTCTACTGTTGGTACTTTACTGTTGTTACTCTGCTGTTGCTACTCTACTGTTGTTACTCTACTGTTGCTACTCTACTGTTGGTACTCTACTGTTGCTACTCTACTGTTGCTACTCTACTGTTGTTACTCTGCTGTTGCTACTCTACTGTTGCTACTCTACTGTTGCTACTCTACTGTTGCTACTCTACTGTTGGTACTCTACTGTTGTTACTCTGCTGTTGCTACTCTGCTGTTGTTACTCTACTGTTGCTACTCTACTGTTGCTACTCTACTGTTATATCTACTGTTGGTACTCTACTGTTGTTACTCTGCTGTTGCTACTCTACTGTTGTTACTCTACTGTTGCTACTCTACTGTTGGTACTCTACTGTTGCTACTCTACTGTTGCTACTCTACTGTTGTTACTCTGCTGTTGCTACTCTACTGTTGCTACTCTACTGTTGCTACTCTACTGTTGCTACTCTACTGTTGTTGTACTCTACTGCTGTTGCTACTCTGTTGCTACTCTACTGTTGGTACTCTACTGTTGTTACTCTGCTGTTGCTACTCTGCTGTTGTTACTCTACTGTTGGTACTCTACTGTTGTTACTCTGCTGTTGCTACTCTACTGTTGTTACTCTACTGTTGCTACTCTACTGTTGGTACTCTACTGTTGCTACTCTACTGTTGCTACTCTACTGTTGTTACTCTGCTGTTGCTACTCTACTGTTGCTACTCTACTGTTGCTACTCTACTGTTGCTACTCTACTGTTGGTACTCTACTGTTGTTACTCTGCTGTTGCTACTCTACTGTTGCTACTCTACTGTTGGTACTCTACTGTTGTTACTCTGCTGTTGCTACTCTACTGTTGTTACTCTACTGTTGCTACTCTGCTGTTGTTACTCTACTGTTGGTACTCTACTGTTGTTACTCTGCTGTTGCTACTCTACTGTTGTTACTCTACTGTTGCTACTCTGCTGTTGTTACTCTACTGTTGGTACTCTACTGTTGTTACTCTGCTGTTGCTACTCTGCTGTTGTTACTCTACTGTTGGTACTCTACTGTTGTTACTCTGCTGTTGCTACTCTGCTGTTGTTACTCTACTGTTGGTACTCTACTGTTGTTACTCTGCTGTTGCTACTCTGCTGTTGTTACTCTACTGTTTGGTTTGGGGAGGATGAGAAGGGGCCACCCATATTGCCCGCAAAGCCAGGGGTCAAGACTACCCATTTCTGCTTTTCCAGATTTTCCTTTCGGGAACTCAGTGGAGCCAGTTGATGTTGACCCCATACTATTCAATCCCTCTTCCACTCCAAAAGTGATGATTGCCCACTAAACTCAGGCACACCCCCTATTAATAAACTGGGGTTGATTAATACGGGGTCAATATTCCAATTTATCTTGCTGGTGCGATAGGTAGGGAATGACCGAGTCAGGGTTATTCCCTGGAAGGAAACCATAGGGGATGGCTTATAGGTGTCATTGCCTCATTCCCTTCTGAGAACCTGCAAGTTATATGTTCGTTTTTTGAAGGGTGGGGAGCCTCTTATCTGCCTATACAGGTAAATGGGTCCACAAGCGAATTAAATGGGCATGGCTCCAAATTCCTTACCTAGGGTCAGGCAGGTTTTAGTCTGTCCATTTAGCAGGGTGTCATTTTGGGGGTGTCTGTTTTTGAGGGTACCCCTTTTTGGTGGATTCAAAGGCTAAGCCAAAAGGAAAGCGAAAGTCCATGTTGTTCGATTCCCAAACAAGAAGAAGAGGAAGAAACAAAGTCATTTTCCTTGGTGGCTCCCAGCCATCCCCTTAGCTTTTTGGCTTTTTAGCAAAATCGTGTGCGGTGGTAGTTTCCATTTCACCCACTAAAAGTTAGTCACATTTTTCTAGCGGGGCATCTGAGGGCAGCCCAGTTCGAGATTCTGAAGCGAAGCCAAATGAAAAACCAACACTCATTTTTGGGGCCCTATTCCCAAATATATGTATATATATATCCACCCCTCATTTTCCGAACAACAAATAACGAGCCCCCCATTTTCGGGGTTCCCTTTTTTCGAGGCCAAGCGCCAGTTTTTCGTCCACCGAACCTCGCTTCGGTGTCGTTGAGGCGACGCCCGGCTCCCACTTCGAGCTGGCCTCGCTGAGCAAGATGATCGGCACCTGCACCTCGGCTCGCTCGCTCGAGCCATGGGCACCATAGGGGGCGGTGGTGTGGGGTCCGTGTTTTGGAGTCGTTTTGAATATTTGCGATTTCGCCTCCTGGTTTCAAAGGGAATCGACTTCACTACTGGAATTGTTTTTTTTCATCTTTTCAAGGACTTAAGCAAATGGAGGTGCCCTGGGGGCGGTGGGCCTTGTTTTGGAGTCGGAAGCCTTGGTGGTTCTTCCTTTTTTGGGAAGAATGCGGGACCAACGCATTGCGCTGTAAAAAGCCAGTGTTGCAGCACACCATTTCAGATTGCTTTATTTTTGTTCTTTGTATGCACGCTGTTGGTACATTCATTTGCGGGGTAGGGGTAAAGGGAAAGCTCAAGGAACACGGAAATCCATTTTTGGGGTCCAAACCCACAAAAAGGCACCCAAGTCTGAAACACCGCGGAAGTGTCTCAGGTGCCAAACGTGTCCAATCAGGACGTCCTTTGATGGTGGTGTTCCTTTTCTGCCTCCACTTTAATCCGCGCGTGGCAGAGGATAGGTTGGAAGGCAGCTTGCTATTGTAACTCAAAACATCTCAGTTGGAAGGAGTTCTACCAACTCAAAAAGGATAAGTTCAGATAGCCAGACAGTTGTGACAGGAAGCCAGACAGCGAGGTTTAGGTAGCTTTCCGAACCTTGTGGGCTTGATCGAAGTAGCTACACGTTTTGGGGTTTTCATATTCTCACCCCATGAGTTCCTGGACTTTTTACTTTGTGGGAAGACCATTTGAGTGGCGAATCAACAGTTTGCACTGGGCTTTGTCCAATCCACTCGGGAAGTAAGTGGGACTGGCCCCCAAATGCCAAATGACCATGGGTAACGTATTTCCCATTTAGTGGGACAGAGAATCTTTTTCAGTGGTGTACCCCAATGGTCATCCCATGTAAAGGACCTTTTAATCAACCCCCAACCTTGAAACACACAGGCCTCGACTGTAAGGGTTCACCATTCGGTTTGACGAAGTGAGGTTGGCAGGGATGAGAGTAAAGTGATCTCAGGCAACCCCTAATTGGGGTAAATGCTGTCAAGATTGGCGGTTTGGATTTGGATTTGAACCCCTTTGTGAGGGAAGGGAAACCACCCCCCAACCTCCCAACCACCAATCCAAACCACTTCAAAAGAATGTGTTTACTTCCCCTGTTGGCTTTAGAGGGAACTTATCACTACGTACTCGATTGTTCAAGACTTGCCATATAAGGCAAAATACAAAGATAACTAAACCGTCAACCAGGCAAGATACTCAAAACATCATCTTGTCTGTTCCAGGTGTTCAACCCCTAAGGCAAAACACCCCGTAGAGACATCGCAGACAATGGGGAAGACGGGCCGAGACGCGGCGTTCGGCTCATGAAGGTCCCTTTCTGTGCCCATGAGGCTTTGCCCTCGAGTATTTCGCCAAGCACCGCGTGAGCGTCCAGACTCCGGTGAACCACCTGCTCGCGGACCTAGGGCCAATCGCCCAGTCGGGAAGTGGTGTGGGATTCGATTTCGCGGGTTTTTGAACAGATACGCTGGGGCCCGAAAAGTCAAGCACATAAATCATAAATCTCATTATGTTTTTGGATATCGAGGTGGTATGCATTGTTTGTTTAATACAAAGAACGCCTCGATATGTTGTGAAGGATATGTTGTTGGATATGGATATTTGGCCCTGCCCCAGAACGGGTGTATTTGAGCCAGGCAGGGGGTTAAAGACGAACCCACAAGACTCACACCCACACACGTACTCTCTTAAATACAAGACTGCCGTGTGAAAGACCGTTCTCCTGAAGCCTCCTTTCCATGTAGATGCGTTGACAGGTCAATCTGCCGCTGTTTGTGCGGGGTCAACTTTCGACTGCTTGACCATGCGTTCGCCCCATTCGAATGGCCAAGTTGGCTGTTGGCACTTGGAAAGACCCAAGGTCTGGTACCCTCCGGGCCTCCAAACCAATGTATGTAGGGTTGCCTGAGTATGCAATTTGGCAACATCTGAACATAGTACTTTCGGCGTGCCTTCGCCAAACTTTGGCTTTTGCCAACGACCTGAATGGCTTTTTGGGGGTTGGTTCCGACAGCAGCCTGTTTCGCAAGTGACTTGTGCCTGACCAGAAAGTTGATCCCATTCTTTTCAATCAAGGGCCGTTTGCTGTTTTGTTGTCATGGGGGCTGGGGGGGAGGGAGGGGGGGGAGGGAGCCCCAATAAGCCCCAAATAAGGCCTTATTAGGGGCTTAATAAGGGCTTATTTGGGCTCCCTCCCCCTCCCCTCCCTCCCCCCCAGCCCCCATGATGTTGGCTGTGGATGCCAATGATTATTTTCCAAACGTCCGGTTTCTGTGGTTTCTGGGTATGGGGAAGCTAGAAATGCGCGGCGCGGGGTGTTTCCTGCGGCGGACGAGCTTTGTTTCCTAAATGGGAAGCAGCCGGGTTCCGACTTGACGGAACCCACAACGCAACATACATGCCATGTGTAAGGTAAAGGTATGGCACACAGCTGGAATGTGAGAAGAGGAAGTTTCATCCCTGAAACGCCACATGAAAGGCGCAAGGCAAAAGGCAAAGGGTTGAAAGAGAAGGCTCAGCGCACAAGCTTTAGTGTGAACGATGTAACTATGTGTTGTCAACATGGGGACGCCCCCCAAAAGAACGGTGCTTGCCTGGGTATCTGAAAAGAAGAAGTCCATGTGAAGGAGGTGCTAAATGTTAATGTTACTTGGCTGTTGAGAATTGACACCGACCCCTCCATGATGGGTGGGTGTCCTTTTTTTGTTGACAACGGGTTCCTTGTTTTGAGACATACGCTTCGCACAAAAAGTAATCGGGGTACTCACCCCCCGAGGGACTTCAAACTTTTAGGAAGACCATTGTAGTGGCAAACAGAAAGTGTTGCCTTTTTCTGGCCAGTCCGCTCGATCGGAAGTCAGGGTATCACCACCAGACCCTCGGACCGTAACCTTGAAGGGTAAGCCTGAAATGAGGAGTACAAGAGTAGATCAGGACCAACTCAGTGGTTAAATGGGAGGCATGTGCCCTAAACATGGCAAACACGTGTCATATGTCTGTTTTCGGCTCTTGTCTGGGTGTCTGCAGATGGGAGAATATAGATGAGTTTTTGAGGGACGCTTTGGGGGGTTGTTTTGTAGGGACACAGGGAAACCACCTATTTCCCAGAAGAACGATAGCTTGGTTCCGTCAACCAGCCTGAAACAACCGTTTGCAAATGCTGGGCACCCCAAACTGCAATTCTGCCATGTCCTTCAAGTAGGTCTATTCAAGTGGCCATTTTCCATAGTTGAGAGCCACCGCTGTAAACGTGTGTTTCTTCCAGAAAGCAGAAACGGACTCTGTTTGCATTGTGTGGTTTTTAGGTTGGGAATATAGGGAGCCCTGGTTGTGTGAGCGTGCGTTTCCCCAACCCTATCCTTAACCTCAATTTCCAGTCAAGCCTAACCTTGATCTTAAGCCTTGGTAACCCAACCTCAAGTTCAGCCCAACCCAAATCCTGCTCTAAGCAAGCCTAAGCCTAAGCTTGGGCACAACCTTGAGAAAACCCCCACCTTCGCCCCAGCCCTCGACCCTCGACCCCTCCCCGCAGGTCCTACCGCGTGCCGGTGGCCGAGGGTTTGCCCAAAGAGTGGGCAGAGCGCCTGAGCCTGGAGCACCTCATGTCGCACCAGGGCCTCAATATGCACTACGTCAGGCGCGGCTTCTGGTCGAACCATTTTGGGGCTTCACTAGCTTCATTTGGTGCTTCAGTTCGCCGGCCGTCCGGTTCTTTTGGTTTTCTTCGAGGCTTTTTGGGTTTTAGGGTTTAGGGGGGTGTCCGTGTAACCCGCAAAAGTCTTTTAGGATCTGAGGACAGCCTAGATAGGGTTAGCTATAGGATCTCCAACACTAGCTTGTGTTTTTTAGCGTAGACTAGATATGAATGTTGCACACTGAAGGAAACTATTTGAGGGCAGTGGTTTTTGGTGCGGTTTCAAGCAAAGAACAACTTTCGTCTAGACATGACGACGGGGAAGTCGGAAGCGCCAGCTCTCCAAGCCGCGACTGCGCGTTTTTTCCTCCAAAAGGAGATTTGAATTTTGGGGTAGACCAGATATGGCCGTGGGTCAACACCAATGGTACCATTTTGGGGTAGGTGCACCACCCATTTTAGACTATTTTAGTGGGGATTGGGACGTTCACTGGGGGTACGAGGTTTTGACCCATAGCCATGTGACAGGAAATCTGAACATGTTTTCCTCTGTCTCCGAGCGGGCTACTGGGAAAACCATTTCAGCTAAACTAGGTTAGGTGTGTTGTGTGAAGGGAAAGCGAGTTGGGACACCAGCCAGATTGAGCAGAACCCCTGGTTGACTTTGATCACCGCAACCTAGTTAAGAGGGAGCCAAACGATGCCGAGGCAGCGCCCCAGGGTTGACCAGGTTGACATCGGCCCTCGATTTGGCTGGGTCAAAACATACACTACTGGTTGGTAGGGAGGGTTATCAACTCATTTGGCCATGAACTTCAATTGGGAATCCCTTAAAAGTGGTTGGTGGACAGAAATCACCACCTAAATGAGGTCAAAAGTCATGCTCAGCTCGAGGGATTTTGTACCATGACTACGAGGCAGCTTCGTCGAGTTCTTTGGTCCCCAAAAAGAATCAGTGGCCGCAGAATTGGGCGGTGGTTGTGGAAAGTCGGTTTCTGGGACAATTTTCGGTGATGGCAAGGGAACTCCCTGTAAAGTGCCAAAGTAGTCATGGGGATGGCCCGTGTTGGTATCCCACTTTATGATTAGATAAGCTGAATCTGACCCGAGGCATGCGTTTTCGCACCACCGCTTTTGCTTTGGCCCGAGGCTTCCAAATGTGCCTGGGTCATTTGACACTCTGCTTTAAACCCATGCAAGGTCTCCTACGAAAACCACGACCATGGCCTCAAAATATGCGGTGGCCTTTCGTCACTGTGGGGTTCGGTACATGGTTGCGCTCATGAAGTTTCCCACAATCAGGAGGACTCACAAATCTTCCCATGTCCAGTCCCCGAGTTGCGGGTTGAGAGGCTTCATTGGATCTTTTACTCCAAATTCAAGGCTTTTCCCCGCGTAGCGTGGAACCCGGGTGAGCCTGGTCTTTAAGGACCATCCCTTCGGCCACCTTGCAAGTTGCCTGAGATGGTAGCCCTGAATAAGCTGATGCTTCCCAGCGCAATCAACACCCGACAAAATTGGAGGGCAGGGGACAGTCCCAACCATCGGCGCCACGGCGCTCCCTACAATTTCTTACATGGATTTGGGGTGGACCTTCTCAAAGCCAGCCCTCGTTCCATGCCATTCCCCCAACTCGATTGCTCCGTGTCATTTGTAGGAGAGGATGGTAGAAAGCCAATTGACATTCCCCCAAAGCAACCAAAAGGGGGATTGGCCATGTTTCTATTGTTGCAAACCCCGCATTTCACAATGAATACAGCTCCAGGGCCTTGTTTGGGTGTGCCTTGTTTGGCAAAGGGACATGTGACGGTGACCCCCCCCAACGTGGTTCGCTCGAATATTGGCGCACTTGCAAGGTCTCCTTTGCGGGGGAGAGTTTGAGGGTATCCTGTTGGAGCTTGCGCAAAACCCGGAAGCCATCCAAGACAACCAACTTTGCGAGCCATGAGCCTCAGAGCTAAGGAGAGGGGATACTTAAACAATGCTTGAAGCCAGGGAGCCAAAGAGAACCAATGGCTTCCCCAAAACCTGTGGATGGTTGAAATCGAAATCCAGAAATCGTACCACTGGGAAACCATGGTTGAAACCATGAGGTTGGTTGGTATTTACACGGGAATCGAACCAGAACCAGGGTTTCTTTAGGTGGCGCGAGATGGATCTCGCAACCATCCACAGAATCATCAGTTCGTTTGGCTCCGCGTGTACCGCCTCAACACCGCATTGAGAGCAAAACACACGAAAATGTAGCATGAAAAGTAGGCAGTGTCGTGTATCCAATTCCACCAAAGTAGCAGAAATGTCGCTGAAATGTTGATACAAAACCCGTGGGGGGTTTGCCACAAAAAGGAAAGGCTCCGCCCCGATTTTTTCGGTCAGGGGAGTGCCGCTGGAAGAGCCCTGGCCAGGCCGGACTTACGACTTACGGGGGCGGAAGTCCCCCTTTACTTGGTGGCTCCCAGCCATCCGGTTCCTTAGCCTTTAGCTTTTTGGTGTTTAGTGGTAGTTTCCATTTAACCCACTAAAAATTAGTCACTTTTAGCGGGGGATCTGAGTGCAGCCCAGTTAAAGCGCCAGAATTATGGGGGTGTCTTCATTTTTATGACCTTCGCAAAACGGTTGTGGGTTCAACAAATAGGGTACCCCAAAATGGGTTGCCCTGGTAAATGGCAACAAGGACTAAAACCTGCGGTCCATATCCTGGTGATTTCATTTTGACCCACACCCAGACGGGGGTTGGTTTACAGGGAACCAATCACCGTATGTTGTGATCGTAAACTGTAAGCTGTTTTTCTTCTTCCCCCGTTCAGTACAGTTCACCTTAGCGGGTTCTAGGTCCGGCTCTAGTTCTCCCTGAAAGGTGATGCCAAACATTGTCCATTTGTTCCGTTTGATATGGCGTTTCGCGTTTGGTCGAGGGGGCCTGCCCGTTTTTTGGGTTGTCTTAAAGGGACACCGAAGCCCATGTTGGGGGGTCCATCCCTGGCGAATCGAACACCTAAGTGTTGAGCTGGGCCAGTTTCTGTGATGCCAAGGGAACCCTCTTTGTTGTGATCAAGTAGCTTCCATTTTCTGAACAGAATATCGCTTATTTGTTTGGCTTTCAATTGAACCTTTCGCTCTTGGACATGTTTTCCCCTGTTGGGTTTAAAGGAAATGCATCACTAGGGCATTTGTCCAGGGTCAAGGGACTGTTTTGTTTTGGCAGCACTACAGGCCGCTAGTTGGGTCCTGCAAGCATCAGCTTGGGGTCATGTTTCAAGGACATGTCAGGAGAATCATACCCAAAAAGGAGCTCCTTTGCCCGAAAGGAGACTCCCATAAATATCCTATGGGTTCCTTTCTCCAAAGTGGCACGTTTGACAAGCCGCCCATAAGTTCTGAGTCCACGTTGAGGGCTCCTCAAGGCTACATCTGACTCTGGCTGTTTTTAGGAATCGCACCCCCAAAAATCGGCCTCGGTTCTCCTGTTGGTTTTCCAAACTACCAAACAAGGGGTGCCGAGCCTCAACAAACGGCACACCCACTTCTGGGTCCCGGTGCCGTGAGACGAACTTTGAGCATGTTTTTTTCCAACATGGCCCCAGAAGTCCCCCGAGTTTGAGAAATCCAATTTGTGAAAAGAAGGATCTCTACAAGGAAGGGACATCAGTTGTTCCGTGGTTTCCAGCCTCTAAATCGCTTTGTGTTTGGTAGGTTTCCAAGCAAGTGACAAAGGTCAACCTTCTTTTCTGCAACTGGGTCCATTAAAGTGACATCATCGGAATTAGCCCCGAACAATTGTCAAAGGAAAACCACCACCACCAGCGATTTTTGAGAACCCCTTCAAATGCCACCATTTGGGGCCCAGTGCCAGGGTCGCTGGTTGCATCCCGAGGGGGAAATCAGCTAGGCATCGAGGCGTACGTGCACGGGAACTCCCAGCACAACCCTGGGCGGGCGGCTCGTCCAAGGACCGGTCTCTCAAATACGTACAATGTCATATATTTATATATATATATATAATATGGCAACCCCCCGCTGGAATACTCAGGTTTTTGTTCCACAACTTATATTGTTGCTGTAAACATGCGTCCAGTATATATATATATATACACATGTCAAGTCACACCTAAAACAAAACATGTGGCGCGGTGTTTGGCTTCAAGCTCTACGAAAGAAAGGCTGTTTTTGCGTCATATTCTGGAGGCGTTTTGTTGGCAACACTTGTACCCTAGTTCCTCACTTCCTGAGTGCATGGACGTTCCAAGCTTTAATGGGAAGGCAATTTTAGTGGCAAACAAAAAAGTTTGGGGCCATCCACTCAGGAAGGGAGGTTTGCGCCGCTTTTTTCGCCGAGTTCTCTGGTTGAAGCTTCTGCTTTGACCAATTGTCAATGCGTGACACAGGCCGCGAAAGACGAGCAACACCTTGGTGTTGTTATTGAGTATTAGCGGCTGGGTGTTTTTAGTTTTGTTAGGGCTGAGATGCTAGGTGCCCTTCTCGCCCCTTTTTTGGGGGGAGGGTTCCCCTACTAAATATACATATAGACTACAGAAAAAGGGTGGCCTTATTTTATCCTCTCCACTGGAGGACCTAGGTATTAGCTGTCGGGTGTTTTTAGTTTTGTTAGGGCTGAGAGGGTGCCCCATCAACGAAATGAGGTGGAGATCATTTTTGAGCCGGGCAGTCGCTTCAAGTACAGCGGCGGGGGCTTCATTCTCCTACAGCGCTTTCGGCGAAAGCTTTCGTGGTCACGGCGTGTCCGCCTTTCGAAGGTTTGGGGACTGTCGTTTTTTTTGGAGGTTCCTGGAAGAAGTCTCCCAAACCCTGGATTTTGCGGGTATTTGGCTAACTTACTGGAGATGGTTTCTTTTGTGAGGTACCCCTTCTTAGTGGTTTGCAAATGACACCCAAAGGCACCATTTTGGGCCCCAGCCAGAAGAAAACCACGGCCTTTTGCCCATTGCCAGACTTAGCACACCTCTTTTTGAACCTGTCCGTTCTTTGGTTCAACGGGCCAGAGGCTGCCGTGTGTAGCTACACCTTTCCAAACATAAGCCATCTGGATAGCGGTCCCGATGGTTCTCCCTTTGGCTGTTTGATGTATCACCTTGGTGTACAGCGTGCAGCTAGACGTTTGGGGAGCCCCCAAGTGCGCCACAATCGAAACCCAGGAAAGCGAAGGTTAGTCAACCAGAAATGGGTGCGGCAACAACCGCCCTGTTGACTCTGTTCATGTGTTTTGGGCAGACCCCGTTAGTGCCAGGCTTTGATTGCGACACACTCCTCCCTGTTTGCCCCCAAGAACCCTTTTCTGCGAGGAACGCTGTTTTCCAGAGGAGATGGTTGCACTTCCATGTTTGGTGGAAGGGAGAATTGCTGTTCAAGCCACCTCCTTGTCTTGCTTCTCGGGAAGTACCTAGTTGGAATGACCCTCACTGAACAATCACTTGCATGTTTTTTGCACCAATCCTCAGATTCCCAGAACCTGATTCCCTGCCGAGAACCAGCACAAGTTTTGGGGCCCAGGTGAGGTGAGAGTTGTCCTTACACCTTGGGACCAGAATTTGGTTGCTCCACCTCAAAGCGATCGGTTGCCTTTTGTTTCTATTTGGGTGTGTCTTTTTTAAGGATTTGCACCCCCCAAAAAATTGGGCCTCGGTTTCCTTTTGGTTTTCCTTTCAAACCATCAAACAGACAAGTACCTCCAAGAAAAACAGACCCGTTGGTACACTCCCGCTCAATCCTGCTCAGGGAGCCTTCTTGTGCAGAAACCCCTGGGGACAATGGCTGGTTTCTGAAGAGAACGATGGGAGACGAGACCAACGGGAATCAAGCGTTCTATGTGCTTTGGGGGCCCTTTGTGCTTTCCTACAAGGCTTTGTTATCCCTGATTTTCCAGGCATCCTTCTCGAGCCTCGAACAGGTCCGACCAAAAATCGCATGGGATTCGGGCTCCGAAGGATGACCAGAATGGGTTCGTCCCTCCGGGTGAAACTTCCCTGCCAAGGACCACATTAGGTCTTGCGAGCAACCCTGTTTTAGGTTCACAGTAGCTTAACCCCGGAACTGAGGGGTGATTTGGGTGGTAAGTATCTCAGCTGTCCAAGGCTCACCTGAAAAATCCAGTTGGGTTCTCCAGTGGCCCATCCAAAGGTGATCACCTTTTATGCAACCAGGTCCTTCGGGCAGGTGAGCGGGGTTAATGGTAGACAATCCCGGCCAGAAAGCCCTTTGGTTCTCAACTATGTTGGGGTACCTTTTCGGGTGACTTAGTAACTTGTTGGCAACTTGGGTGATAGCCCACTTGTAGGTCCCCCTCTGCGGCCTTAATCCTGTCAGCTGTGGGTTATATCCCAGGTGGCTAACCACTTCCTTTCTTGGCCACGAACATGAAATTAGACCCCTAAAGAAATCCAGGGTTTGATTAGGACGGTCCAACCAATTAGCACCTCTCTGCCTGAGTTCCCAGGTTTCAATTATGACTCGCAGAATTCCCTCTTGGTGCTCAAGGAAATGAGCTGGAATGATCCCAAGAAAACCCATCCCCGAGTTGGTTTCCTTGAAGGGGAATCCCCTTCCGGTTCATTCCCAACACCCGGAACGGTCAGTCCCCACCTATCGCACCAGCAAGTTATGTTGACTCGGTGTTCTGGGGTTGTCAAAGTCAGCAAATGGGGGTGTTTCCCTCGAACCTACCACGGGGTGACTTTGATGATAGAACAAAAGGGCCAGAATGGTGATTCCCCACCTATTTTGCCAGCTCAATTCCCCAGGTACATTCTGGAGCTCCACTCTGGACAGAGCATTGACGCGCTGCTTAGGCCCTTCCTGGACCGGGGTTTGAAGGGATTGGGCGGAGCGAGGTTCATTTTTTTTGGGCTGAACCGGCGACCCTGGTTTGGTAGGCTCTCTTTGATCAGCTTACTTAGAACTTTGGGGGACCTCCTTTTTCGGTTCCATGTTATTTTGGGAGTACTGTGCAGACTTTTTGTGGAATCTTTTAAAGGGTTCCTCAGTAAGACTTAGCACTTTGGGGGACCTCCTTTTCCGGTTCCATATCGATTTGGGGATGAGAGGTGCAAAAACAAATGTCTTGTCAGGCGAAGACCCCTAGCTGTCGGAATTCCCTTTGAAGGGTCCCAGAGTAAGGTTTAAGAGGAACCGTTGGGGGAGGGGGAGTTCTGGGAGGGCGGTTGTTGGGGGGCTTGGTATTTGAGCTAAGTGTCAAAAGAATCTGGTGGCTCCCAGCCATCCGGTTCCTTAGCTTAACTTTTTAGTGTTCAGTGGGGTTTTCCATTTCACCCACCAAAAGTTAGTCACTTGCGGGGGATCTGAGGACAGGTCAGTAAAGAGAATCCGTTAAGGGTTGCGGGAATTGCCCCACCTCTGTGATACTTCCACAAGACGCATTTTTCACTTGCAGGGGCCCCCTTCTTTGTATCATCGAAGTAATTTTAACCCCGGATTAGTAGGGGGTGTCCCTTCCCTCTTTGTGGGAGCCTTCCTTCACTATTGTGTGTGTGACACCTATTAGTAGGAAAGGTTTAATCAATCCAGGGTTCCTATTCAGGAACAACGCCCTGGTTTGCACACCTGAAGGGTTTGGCTGCCTTCCCATTTTCTGGGACAGTTTTGTCCATTTGACTTCCAGACGAGAAACCCACGCAAAAGCAGCAAGTGTCCGGAAGTCCCGCGTCGGTGTCCTGTGACTCCAGTAAAAGGACTTCCAGGACTTCTTACTTGTTGTTTGTTTGTTTGTTTGTTTGTTTGTTTGTTTGTGTTTTCTAAAGAAATCTATAACATGAGTTTCCAGTATTGCTTTTGCTTTTCGGATTTTCCGTTGAGGTTCAGGTTGTCCCTTCGCGAGGACGAGCTGGGTCTGGCGAACATCACCTTCGACGTTGTGGACGCGCACCACTCGCATCGCCTCTACGTGCCGGGCGTGCAGGCTGATCTGTTTCAAGTGGCTGCGCCAGGGACTCAAGGCGCCCTGTTTGAAGGTGCCGTGTTTGGGGTTGTTTGAAGGAAACGCAAGGTTAGTTGCAGATAGATAGATAGATAGATAGACAGATAGATAGATAGATAGATAGAGATAGATAGATAGAGATAGATGGATAGATAGATGGATAGATAGATAGATAGATAGATAGATAGATAAATACATAGATAGATAGAAAGTAAATAGTTAGATAGATTAGATTAGATTAGATTAGGTTAGATAGATCGATCTAGATAGATAGATAGTGAGATGGATAGATAGCTAGATAGATAGATAGATAGAAAGTAGATAGTTAGATAGATTAGATTAGATTAGATCAGATCAGATCAGATTAGATAGATCGATCAATAGATAAATAGAAAGTAGATAGTTAGATAGATAGATAGATAGATAGATAGGTAGGAAACTACAGAGATAGATAGACAAAAAGGGACTCACCTAATTGTTTGATGTCCCTCAGATGTCCCCACGGCCCAATATCAGATAACCCGTCAGGTGGATTGGATTTGTTTGGACTTGGACTTGAACCCCTGGTTCTTGGTAAATGAGAAACCGGAAACCACCGATTCGGCTCCACCATTTGGAGGCCTGTTGCTTTTCCCATTTGTGCTCAGTGTAGCTATGATCGCCCAGGCGACTCGAGCTTTTGAGCCCGATTGGGTTGACGAGAGCTTTAGCAGTTGATCCACTTACTCGAAGAGGGTCTCTATTTGCTCCAGAGGGAGTTTTACACTCACTTTTTTCGGGGTTGACTTTGATACTGGTCAAACACAGCAATGGGGCCATATCTCCGCATGGTCCAAAGGTATGCTGCCCTACCAACACCCGAAAGGGCCGATGAGAAGCACTCGTTTGAGCCCGCCGGCCCAGGGGTTGACCTGAGGCTTTCTAGGGGTAACCGCGGAAATATATTTGTATATATATATATATATTTATATATATATATATGTGTATATATATGTAATAATTATTATCACGCGTGTTTTGTTTGTTTTCCTATTCATTATATTTTCGTTTTTGGAAGTCCATAGAACAAAATCGCCCGAGCCCCTGGATTTTGTGGGTATTCGTCTAATTCCCTCAAGAATTCCCTGGAGATGTTTTGTTCATGTTTCTTTTCGAGGATCCCCATGGTTGTGTCTTTAAAAGGAACACGAAAAGGAACACCCACCGCCTTTTTTCCCCCACGCCCACGCGGCACGCTGGCAGGACGGGCGCCCGGTGCGGAAGCGCTTCCCGCCGCTGGCAGCGGGAGCCTTCGGCAGCTTGCGGGACATGCAGCGCTTCCAGGCGGAGCTCGAGCGAACTCGACAAGTCGGGAACGGAGCGAAGTGTGGCGCGAGGTCCATGGGGGGAACTGCAAACACTACACCACATATTTGCATATATATATATATATACAGATTACAAAATATATTAATATGTACATATATATATACGTATACCTTATCATACACACATTCAGGTATGTATCACAGAGTCACACATGTGTATATATATATTAGTTATATATATATATTATGTACACATATTTAGAAATACATCCATGCATGCACATACTTCTGTATATACATATGCACATATCGCATATCTTAATCGCATACATGTGTGTGTCTGTGTCTCACGTATATATCTATCTATCTAATATATCTATATAGTTTATTTATCTATTCATTTATGTATCCATTCATCCATCCAATCTAATCTAATCTCATCTCATCTAATCTAATCTAATCTAATCTAATCTAATCCATCAATCTAACCTAGCCTAACCGAACCTAACCTAGCCTAGCCTAGCCTAGCCTATCGTATCCTATCCTATCCTATCCTATCCATCTATCTATCTATCTATGTATCTATCTCTCTATCTATCTCTCTCTAAATATTTTGAGTTATTTTTATCGGATGGCCATACCCCGTATACCCCGAAAGGTAAAGCCCGAATAAGGGGTAAATAAGGGATATACCAAACAACATATCAAGCCAACCATAAATGCACTATGGTCGACACCCATGCACTTGGGGTTGGTATGGATGATGATTGAACCCGTCAAGCCAAACGTACTGTGGATGAACACATTTTCATTGTGTGGCACCAGTCGGTTGGCCAGTAGTCTCATAGGATTTTATCGATCCCCACAGAGTGATTTAGTCCATCCACAGCATGTCCAATCATTGCAAGCCGCTCTGTAAGTCTACCCCGTTCCCTTTGGGAAGTGGTGTTTTTTGGGGGTAGTGGAACCTCTGAGAGTTAGATCAATGGAAATTCGGTCTGCAAAAAAACATATATATATATATATATATACACACTTTTCCAGCCTGTATGACATGACCTACAATCAATACTCATTCAGAGCCATGGCAAGGGGAGCCATTGCAACCACTAGTGGCAATTAGGGACCATTGCGGACCATTCCGGACCATTCAGGGCCATAGCCCGCCTATGGCTCCCCTTGGCATGGCTCTGAATCAGTATTGGGTAGATAGGGAAACTGCGTCATGAGCTCATGTGTGCTAAAAGGTGAGTGTAGAGTAGTGGAGAAACAGATACCGTGTGTATACCCGGAACCAAAGGGACAAAACCTCTGAAGCGCCCCTAATTTCGAAACGCATCCAAATATCAATGATCCCACCCTCGACCAGATCCCAAAAATGGCCACACATCGGTGTTTGGCTTCTTGATCACCTATCCCGTGATTACCCCTCACGTGGGGTTCACCGGACCTTAGGTATGGCCGGTTTGGTGGTCCCATCAATATATTTGGACGAGCTGCTTTTGTTTGCAAAGCTGTTCGCACCTTGATCTGGTGTATGATCGCGTGCTGTGTCTGACCAGAACAACTCAACCAAGGGAAAGGGAGAGAGGAGAGAACAGAACAAATCACAGCCTGGAAATCAGGAATCCCATTCATGGGTGAGCTCGTTTTAAGTTTTTGCCCCAAATCGGTGAGCTAGTTATAATTGCCCCATCTACTTCCCATTGGAAACTGTCTTAAACTCGCTCCCCAAGTTCCCGGACCTGATACTGTTTCAAACAGTTCCGACTTTTTCTGGCCGATCCACGCCATCGAAAGTGAAAAAAGAAGAAGAAGAAGAAGAAGAAGAAGAGCCTGTTTGGGAAGAGAAGTGTCCACTGCAGTTTGGGCACTTCCCGACCTAAGTGTTTTGAGGCAACCTCCAGACCTGTAGAGACCATTGTCCTTTATTCCTTTGGGAGGGGGCATGTTCCACAAACCGAAATCGGCTGCCTTCCCCCCCCCATCCATCTCAATCTCAAGCTACTGGAGGTCTTTTGCGAACGAGACCACTTTGATTTGCCAGTGGCGGTGTCCCCTTTTTACTCAATGTGGTTTCGACCTTTCGAAAACAACGCGCCATGTGGCACTTGGCGTCAAGTTTCCAAAAGCTAAACGCCAATTCCCAAGCCGCCTTTCCTGCGCCAGCGCCAGACAGCGAATTGTTGTTGGCCCTTGAGACCTTTTTCGGTCAATCCACTAGTCAGCCAGTAGAGCAGACCTGCTGTGGATGGACGAAACCCTGCAGGGGGATCAAAGTCAGAAACCAGCTTCTGACGGGTGGTGCGAAGTGGATTTCGCAACCATTCACAGTATGTCCGTGTGAACCATACGCCATTTGTTTTCAAGCAGCCCCCTAGAAATCACTGTACAGTGCTCAACATGAGCATTGCACATTCCTATGAAGGGTTGAACAGACATATGTAATGTTGACCCCATATGAATGAACCCCAGTTTATTAATCGGGGGTGTCCCTGAATTTTGTGGGGAATCATCACTTTTGGAGGGGCCAAACCCCCCCCCTATTAATAAACAGGTTGGTTGATTAATAAGGAGTCAACATGAGTGGGCCGTCCTCAGATCCCTTGCCAAAAGTTTGACTTGTTAAACCAACTCAGCAAGGGACACCCAGTAATCAGCCAACTTGGACAACCAACTCAGGACACCCAACTCCTTGATCCTCAGGGACACCCAACCACTAAACCAACTCAAACGCTAGGGGCATGGCTGGGGTTCCCAAGAAACCTGGCGCCGAGCTCTCGGAACGAGCCCGCATGCGTCGGGATCGAGGAGTGCCTGGCGGAAGCGTTTCAGCTTGAGGCGGGCCTGGTGAGTGGCTCCGGGAACTTCGGATTCATCTGGAAGGAGGGCTGTGGGGAATGGAATCCACTTCTGTGATACAACAGAAAGGGCTTTCAAAGACTATTTTCTTCATATAAAGGGAGATTCCCTTGTATCACAGAAGTGGGGAGAAACCCCTTGATCCCACAACCCTGTCCGGAAGGAACCGAGTCAATACTACTTAAAGGGGCGATCGATTCGGCGCGGCAGGTAAGTGGGTAAGAACCATGGTTCTAGAAGACTTATGACCATGAGAAGTGTGTTATTGTGTCAAGTACGGTCCTACGGACAAATCCGAAGTTAACATTAATGTTGACCCCGGATCCAAGCAGAACCCTGGTTGATTAATGTTGGACAGACCCCGACCTCCCTTGAGAGGGAGCGAAAGCTGCGGCCGGAAGGGATTCAACTGGCAGCCAGCGATGCTGTCGATGAGGAAAGGAAGAGGAAGGAAGGAACAGGAAGCGGCGGTGCGGGAAGAGGAGAACGCCGCGCGACAAGGGCGGAGATGCATGCAGGTCGATGCCAGGCGTGTGCCAGACGAAGGTGCACACACGCGAGGATCATCCTCAGCTGCTGGAGAAAGAAGCCTACATCAGCTGGAGAGTATCAGGGCCTTCTGTGGGCAACCCCTGCTGTGTGAATGTGTGCCCTTATTTTTTTGCAAAGAAATTATCTTAAATTTCATGGTTTGGGGGCAAACTAGTTGGACACTAAAGAGGACCCCAAAACAGTCACAGTAAAGAGGATCGGCCTTAAATTTGATGGTTTGGGGGCCACTTCAAGAAAGGACTTCCAAAGGTGGTTCTACCACCTGGTTTTAAGAGGGCAGCTGGGTCCAGATAAATATCTATGGCCCGGTAGAACCAAACGTCAATAGTCAATAGGGGATTTTGAGGCATGGGTGTCGGAGGTATGGAGGGTATAATATATTTATATATATATATAGACACCACATATATGAAGTACCGTCAAACATACTTCTGTTGAGTTTAGTGGTCGGTGTTCATTGATATTGTGAAAATGAACAAAACCATGGCAAACAATAGGGGACTCTCAAAAAAACGATACCCGTGGAAAAGGATGGAAGCGCTGAGCTAAGTAGCGAAACGGCTGTAAGTAGGTGATTTTGACCGTGCCTTATATATACATATATATATATATGTACAGGGTCAGACTGCCTTGCAAGCTCATACTGGTGGTACAACAAAAAAACCATACATCCAACACCGACACCTGGAAATGCCCCTGAACTATGTGTTGGGTGCTGCTCAAAGGAATCATTGGTTGGCCCAGTTGGGATAGAATCGCCAGCTTATTGTTCAGAGCAATTTTGGGTATGTCAAACTAGGGGACGCACAAACAAATGAGAGGTTTCACGTTGGTGTCCCTTCAATTCAAGGTGAAAAGGGGTACCCTTAAAAATGCGCACACACTTGTAGGAATCCAGGCTAAATGGGTAGGGACGAGACATTCTTAGCTAGGCCGAGACATGTTTGTGCAAAATGCAATGTCCCCTTGCCAGACTTGGCCTGCCTTCTGCACTTTTAGCCTGGTTGAGTTTCCAACATTTTACCTTCAACCAGCAACAAATATTTCCAGTTTAACTGTGGGCAGGGGGTTCTAAGTTGCGTGTCAAGTCTTGAAGCTGTTCGATTTCCGTGGCACCTGCCTTTTGGTTTTCGCAGGGTTCATTTTTCCCTTCCAACGAGCCAAGCAAAAGCGCCGGGTCTTTCGCTGGGGGACGACCAGTTTGTTTGTTCGCAGATGGTGTTTGGATTCGTCATTTTCCCATGCTCGTAGCTTGGTTTAGTTTTTTATGAGGCCCCCCAAAAAGCAGTTCTCTAGTTATTTGGCCCCCTAATTTTATCCAAGGTCAGCAAACCAAGAATTCCCAAATCCTGAGAACTCCCAAGCCGAGTTGGGCTTCAAAGAGGAACCCCGTTTTGGCCCGTGCTTCCACTTGAGCAGCACCCAAAACCTGTAGTGGCCATTCTAGTTGGTTCTACCTGGTTTCGTTGGGGTTGGTAGTACGGTCCTTGTGAACCTTTATAACCCACTTAGGTAGAACCAAAAGTCTTCTTTGTTCAGGGTACCCTTCTCACCTTGAACATTTACAAGGCATCCACCCGGAGAACCCACAATTTCGTCAGGTCCCCCTAGCTGTAGCTTGACACATACTCCAGGGCTTCTCTCCGCTTCTTCGTTGCTCCTCTCCCTCCGCGCGCGCGCTTCTTTTCTCGTTGCTTGGAGGGCTACAGAAAGATCTCCCACGCCACGGCGCGGCGCATGCTCTACGGCCGGGACCTGGACTTTGAGTTCATGGGCTGCAAGCGCCTCGGCCTTATCGAGCCCAAGGCGAGGCGAGAAATACGGGGGGGGGGGGGGTGGGTGGGGGGGAGGGTTGGCCCCCTGGCAGGGAGAAGTGGAAGGCTCTGAGATTTCCAGCACCCTCCCACCTTTTTGTGGGATTTACGGGAAGAAGGCGAGGGGAAGTGGATGGCTCTATGTCCAATGCCAATTCGAACTGCCCCAAGCCTTTTTGTAGTCACAGTCCGTATTTGAATCCAGACGCCTCCCTCGGTCAGTACCTTAATCACCTTTTGTGTAGCATTTACGGGGTCCCTACGAAACCAAAACCAGAAGAGAGTTCTTCGTTCCGGGGAACCGCGTTCCGAGGATCGTTCACTACTCCGGGTGTGGAAGGCTCTGATTTCCAGTACCCCCCGCACCTTTGAATTGAAATTACGGGGTCCCTGCGAAACCGAAACCCAGACGAAGCCCGCCCACCCCCCCCACCCAGGATTGGCGTGGGTGCCTTTGTGCTCGAGGGCCACCTGAATCGATTTATGCTGCACCAGGCGCGGACGGCTGAGACACGTTTCATAAAACGGGACACGCGAATAAATTGACATGAACCCTTACTAAGGGACCCTTTGGTGGACATGAAATGAGACTTTGGTGGGGATTCATGTCCGCCAATCACTTTTGATGGTGCAAACATGGGTCATTGGTTTGACTTTGTTTTTGGAAAATGATTGGTGCCCCTAATATCAATCAGTTTGACATTTTGTCGGCGGTCAAAAAGCAAATCCAGTATTGCGTTCATGCGAGATGTCATGTGAAACCCACCTTTTGGAGGGAGTGTTGTTTTCGCCATCCTGGTCTCAGCGAACATGGCTCCCCCGTTTTCCACCGTTTGGTCCTTTTGTCCATCTGCTCGTGGCTTGGAGTCGCTCCCTCGATGAATTCAACCGGGGTTGTGTCAAGAGTTTCGCAAGTTTTAAGAGAGTTACCCTGTCAACAAACGGAACCTGAGCGAGGGGTCTTGGTTTGGACGATTTTCCTGCAAGGACCATTTCTCCGGTGTGTTCCATGGCAACACGACGTGGACAGGCTGGCAATCAAAACAGGGAGCCCCGTTGCCAAGCGCAGTTGTCTTTTTTTGGGTCGGATCCAATTCTTGTGAAAGGGAAACCAATGCTTATGAGTCGCATGGCTCCGATGTCTTTCGCTGGGAGAGACCAATTCTCATGAGTCCAGTGGCTCCTCTTTGGGGTGTCCTTCGCTGGACACCCCCGGCCTTTTTTTTGGTCAGGGCGCCAACGACGGGTACCGCCTGCTGTGCCTCCACTGCTTCCAGGGCCCGGACCGCGGCAAGGGCTTCGTCCTGGCGGCGGCCGGAGAGGCGCGCCGTCGGCGCGGAGCCGCGGAGTCCGTGGGGTGCAGGCCGAAGCAAAGTCAATGCCCTGGTCGTCAAGGGCAAAACGCGGCAGAGAGCGATATGCTTTTTGAGGTTAAGTTTGGGTAGCAAATTGATGGGTTCCACTGGTTTAGATGGGTTTGAAACCCATCTATTTTGCCAAAAGGCCACCTATGGTCAAGACCCCCCCAAACTCAGAGGGGCGTGTGTTTTTTCCCGATCCCAGGTAGGCTCCAAATGGAGTGGCTCGGCGCAGGTGGGCTAAGGGTTCTGCAGGTTCCGGAGAGGTTCAGGAGGTTGGGGAGACCACCTGAGCTTAGATATTATTCGTTTGTTGGGCGTCCATGACCAAGCAACACGGTGTCACCTTTGCTCACAGCATGCAAGCGACTTTGGCCGTTCTCTTCAATGAGTCCGTTTGCATTGAGATGGCAAAGTGGTTTTCTTGGTGGTTTCAAGTACGAGCTTCTGCGAAAGAGAGGCCCAGAAGAAGCTCCAAACCTACCCTACTAGGCCTTATCGGTCGCTACTAGGCGGTATTCGTTGGGTTCCCCAAGGGCAAAACGCGGCAGAGAACGATATGCTGTTTAAGGATAGGTTTGGATAAAACATGCTTTTTGAGGTTAGGTTTGGATAAAACATGCTTTTTGAGGTTAGGTTTTGATAAAACATGCTTTTTGAGGTGAGGTTTGGGTAACAAATGGATGGGTTCCACTGGTTAATTGTAAACGCTTCGCGTTGCCCGCCTCGGCCCAGCCTAGTTTGAGGGAAGGGTCAGGAACACCGAAATCCAGTGCTGGGAAGGTCCGAATCCTACTGAAAGCTTGTGACCGCACCAGTTCGCCCGTGCTAGTTCGATGTTCGGAAGCCGCCCTGCTCGGACAGTCTCGGGCAGCTTGGCTGGTCCTTGCTTGCGTGGGTTGTTGGTTGAGCTGGGCCTGAAGCTAGTTTACGGCGGGCTGGGCAGCCGCACTGAGGGGGCTGGGCTATGGCTGGGCTGGGCCTGAGGCCAGTTTCAGACACGTCAGACAGTGGCCAGCAGGCGGACTGGGCTGGGCTAGACGCTAGTTGAGCCCAGGCTGGTGAGGCCCAGTCTCGGCGCTAGATAGGCTGAGGCCTGCGAGTCTGAAACAGGGTGGGCTTGGGTGAGGTTTGCTTAGGCGGGTTGCTGGTTGGGCTGGGCCTGAAGCTAGTCTCAGTTGCCGGCTGCTGGGCAGCCGGACTACGCTGTTGGTGCGCCTGGAACTTCGGCTGGGCGGGCTGGGCTGAGCTGTGCTTGGGCGGGTCGCTGGATGTCATACACACTTGGGCCTGAGGCTGGGTAGCGAGCTGGAGCAGG